AGACCTCGGATACTTCTGTTACTAGATCGGCTGGTTACGTTGTTCTCTTTCCCTCAGATTGCTTACACCCTTCTCGAATTCTGTAAGTGTTGGGTGCACTATCTCGATGTTCCATTCATTATCCGACTGGATAACGGGCAAAGGAATCGTTTCAGGAGGTCAATTGAACTATTTCTCGAGGTGTTCCACAGATCGTTCCAGTTGTTTCTCCTGTGAGTGAATCGGAGACCCATCCTTCTTTACTATAGTCTCACTAACCACTGACTTTTCCTCCCCAGTTTCGTTAGCCAGTCGAAATAACCGTCTACTGTTGCACATAGTCACCGCTTTTCCCATCTCTCTAATCTACCGTACCCACCACTATTCATGGTCATTGTGTAGACTCCTTGTTAGTTCACATTTGAGTTGCTTCTAGTTTTCATTACGTTCAGCACCTGCAGAAATTTTCTGCGCGCACTGATTAGTTCAGAAGAGGCTGCTGAGATTCAGTGGCCATTTGTAACCACCTTGTTAGAGTCGGCTAATGTTTTCACTGCTGTTTATACGGCAGACTGGAGAAGACGCCATGATTTCTGTAGGAAAGGCAGAATGCTACTGCTGGCCATCCGCGGGAAATACCTTAATGCTGTCACGCCGCTTCTATTCAATAGTGCGACTTCACCTCAGACTCCAACATAGTACTGTGATGGTAGCTGCTTTTTTCATAACATTATGTCACTGGCCTTTCACAAACTAACGGAATATACGACTGAAAAATGTGTGAAGTCAGGTAGCACCCACGTGGTCTGTCAGTTTTGTTAATCAGACTGGAATGACTTAAACACTGTGTAGTCATTTCCGTTGTGAGGTCATCAGAACCGTTCGATGACAAATTCAGCTCAAATACCCGGATGTTTCAAATGAATGTGCTTGGATGGATCGACCTACTGTAAATTCGAAGATCGATTTCCAAATTATTTCTAAACTAGTTGATCTGTTTTCTATCTCAGCATCTGGTTATGTCTCTAATGAGCTCATCCCCGAATAGACAGACTGAGCGTCAGAGGTTTAAATTACCTACATACTTCTCCTATACAAACAGCACGTTGAAATAAGTGATTTCCAGGCACACATAACGAATTTTTAAACCACTGTATTTCATGAGTGACTTTTGGGTTGAGTAGTACACTCCTCCTGATGTCGACGCTTCTCATCCAGTGGCTGTGAAGCATGCTAGCCGATGATTATAAAATACCCTTAATCTCTACGTATCTCTCGCTATCAATGGTAAAATTTCAGGATTATATACTATGATATAATAATAACAGAGTGAATCGCTGCTTTCAATTTCTTTCTAAGACTAGGCTATTTTACCACCGTCACTTACGATGCTACTCAGTCAGTGAATCAAGATCCGATTACGTAAGAAGAGATTATATTTAATCAGTCACCGAGTAAGACTGACTGGTAGCTTGCTGCACGTGGAACATACACTATTTCGAGTTGACACTGATAGCAACAGGTGCAATTAAAATTTGAATCATCAAAATTACCAAAGTTAAGAACTCTTTCTCACTAGAATATTAAAAGTTCTGTGAATGTTAAGTGTAAGTTGTGAATGGAAAGTCCGGTAAATCACTACAACAATTACATGACATGATTCGATCAACATGAACCTTTCCCTCAAGGTTTTCTCTGATCAAAATGATGTGTATACATAACCGGTTGAAATAAATCCATTTCCTACTACACACCAAAATCGTAAATATTGTTTCTAAGGTACATTGATCTGGCCACATAAATCGTTTCGTTTTGTAGAGGCCATGGTAACCAAAAGGTTGAAACGTGAACTTTGTTCTCAGAAAGAATCACTAGTCAACCCTCAACTACCTTGGTAAAAATATAAGCAAACTAACCTAGTTTCGTTGTTTTAGTCTTGTAAAAACTCTGGTTACGATTCATTGAGTTGGATTTTGATTTTCGTCTTCGCTTCCTATTACGACCCCATTCTTGTTCATCTCTTTGCTATATTTCGCAATTTTATTATTAATTTCCAAAAAATTGCTCAAAAAATCTAACCAACTATTCTGTCTTACAACATTGCTTTCCAAACACTTTAACTGCTACTTCATTATCTAATTTCCAAACATTATGATACTAAAACTCTTACACTGTAAGCTTGTGCATACATGGAGGGAATACAACGAAATAACAATAGATTCATAGTATTCCACAAACTTATTCGTTCTTGCTTCACTTTAATCGTTGAATTCTACCATGAATTTTGTAATTTATTTCATTTACCGGAAGTTTCCTCGACTAGCTGGGGCTGAACCGTTTATTGCATAGTAATCGGCGTCTTTATATTATCGAGCAATCCATATTAGAGGTTCATAAGCTTCTGAATCTTCGTAATCTCTTCGTCTAACAAGCATTATTAGGTTATCTGCATATTTTGAGTCTGAACTGCTATAGAATTCATATTTAACATTCCTTTCACGGACAAAAGACTGTTATATAGCAACTTCCGACTGCTTAGTTCATGCATCACTACTATGTCGAGTTGCATCAGCTCGAACGCGCTGGTTGCTGACGAATCTCAGCTTGGATACAGAAGGCCCATTCGGCATTTAACAACATGTGTCATCTTTGTCGTCCAAACGCAAATATCCCACTATCTATCAAACGACGAGTATACTGCGCTGCAGTCCACTCTGTTCTGCTATTTGGCTGCGAGATATGGCCGTTAGAAAAAGAAGACATGAATGGGTTACAAGTTTTCGATCACAGGTATCTTCTTAAGATTACTCGCGTTTGATCGAATCAATGTTACCAATTTCGAGATCAGGCAAATAGAACTAGGCAAGTTGGTTGGTGAGGCTGTGAACCTTCATCAACTAAGGCTGCTTGGACATGCATTGCGAGTGTCTAGCCACAGCCCACCTCTGCGTGCCATGTTGGGGAAAGGTGAATTGGATTGGAAGAGGATTCACGGTATCCAGACCAAGACGTGAAACCAGTTGATGAAGTCTCTGACTGTTAGTCTGAGTCGTGTGGGGATATAAACCACCTGGCGGGGGTCCATGAGACGAAGGGAGTCAATGGTTTAGGACTCTTGGTGATATGGCTTAAAATCAGTCACGATGGCGCAGGTGTATCCACTGTTTGACGTCTAAGGCTTGAATATTTGCGCTAACCTTTATCCTCAGACTGTTTATTCTCTCATGCAACTTTGTTTACTTTAATATCACTACTTTTCTACCCACCTGTTCCTCGTGTACTTCTCTGAAGTGCGGAAACTTGATCCGATGCACTTTTTTGCAAGATTCTGCGTTGATTTTGTCAGTCAGTCATGTCGATGGACATATTTGTTGAGAGGCGAAAGTAGATATGATTAGATTCCAACTTTCCTGGCATATATTAGCAAAGCTAATTCGCTCCTGCTATTAAGATAATGTATATCATTCCATATGATGAAAAATATAAAAGAGTTGCAGCGAAGATGAATTTTTCGATATTATTATTTTTAGCTTTATATACGTTGATATATAGTGGAAGGGATGCCACGCTGCAGAATAACTTTCGGTCAGAAGTTAACATATACTGAATAATGAAAAGGGAAGTTATATAATATCAATATGAATTTTTATAGTAAAACAAACAGTAGAAAATGAAGCATAGTTATGTATTGTGATAAATTCTTCGCGATCGTCATAACGAAGAAAGAGACAGTATTTAATTATTTTGGTCATTATGGTGGTTTTGACTTCTGAATTGCTAAAGCTTCAGCTATATCTACATATCTTAGTTCTTTTGATAGACTTTGCTGTTTTCCATAAGAATTTTTGAAGGATTTTCAAAAAAAGCGAAGTGTCTTGAGTTTACTCAATGTTTTTTCGGAAAACTAAAGATTCATTTCCGTTCTCCGTTTGCTGACTAGGCTGTACACTGATTACGAGCACGTTTCGCAACCTGGCTCATGATTTGGTTGATAAACTCGTCACTACAGTAGAAATCAAACTAATATCCACAAACATTGATGTAGGCCAGTGGTTAAGGTTGAAGTGGACATTGAACTTCCAATTAAATGGAAGCTCTATCAGTAGTTATTTGAAAACTTACTTTATTGAACTGAATGAAATCACTGAAATGAGGGGTATCTATTAGTGGAACACTTTCAAAGAGGAAGATAACATCTACAAAAACTTGTTCATTCCATGACAAATTCACATTCTTGACTCAATTATAAAAGTAGAAATTTTCACACAGATTGTTTCGAAATCTCTTTCACTGATTCAAATATTTTGATAATCAGATTCACTATAGAACAATGAACAGAATTAGTCAAGTCTAGTTCTGGAGGGAGGTAAATACCTTATTTGGCTGGACCATATGATAAGTCAGTTGAAGAACTTGGGGGGTGAAGTTGTACTCAGATGTCAGTTCTAATGAGTATTTCTGATTTGTTGAATAACTGAATCTCCATCTGCTCAGTAAGGGTCTTTCTGAATTTTCCGTTTTGATAATGAGTTTACATTGGACAGAAAGAGTGACAGTTTATCTGTATAATATTATTTATTTAGTAACGCTGTTCCATCCTGAAGATAACTTTTCATTTTTCTCACGGACCCCATGTTATGATATTACTAACTCCATAAATTAAGAGTACTCAGGTTGTTATTCATATAACGCTACTGTAATTTGTGCTATATTTATTGAACATACTAACTTTACATGATGCAAAAGGCATTCAAATGTGTTATAAACTAATAACTATGCCTAATGAGCGGAAAAAGAAATTCATCCAAATGTACTAGCTGATTTCTGACAAGGATAAACAAGATAAACATTTTCAACAGTTTGGTACTCTTCACCTGAAGGTATCTTCTGTATTGGTAATTCTAGTGAAACTGAAAACCCACAACTTTTACTCCACTCTCCATTTTTATCCATTAGAGTATTGAGTTACAATGTCATATGTTATTGTGCAGCTCTCAACTATTCTCCTTTATATATTATAGGCATAATAAAAATCGTATGACTCAATTGGCTAGATCACAATTGATATACTGCACCCATTAGATTCAGTTGCATCCGTATTGAATATAGTTCCAATCCAATGGAATGCAACATCGAGACAACAGAAAAATAGAATATCAAACAAAGG